TCCAACCCAAACCATTCCATGATTCTATGTGCAAAGCCTGGGGATTCCCAGAGCGTGATACAACATTCATTCCACCATACCACTTCTCCCAGGTTATAGTGCACGCCCTGAGGGGCAAGGAAATTGCTCGCTCCAACTCTGAAAGTTGCAGTCTGTGACACCTGCAGGTACTCTGATTTCTTTCACGTGAGTTTCTGATTGAAAGATGTCACATAGTATTACTCTGCATTTAGATAAAAATCAGAGTGACTCAAATCCAGTTTTCTTGACACCAGAGCTGTTAAAATGCCCACGCTCTTTCACAACACCAAACAAACCAGAGTATGTATGGGGGGGCGTGGCAGGGGAGACATGGAAAGCATTTTTATTTCAGGTCAATAGCTAACCTTCTAAAAGAACTGGAATGACATAGTGGGTGACTCCTCTTTAAAGTAACCCTGAGATCTAAGTATAATTTCTAAAGCAGATAAAGGATACCATTAATTAACAGAATACTTATTTGCTTTGTTATGCAGTCTCTAAAATAATTTATATACAAACTCCTGTTCAACCTTCAGTTTTTACTGAAGATTAATTTCCTATTAAACAATACTATCTTCTGACTCTCTCCCCCTCCATTACGGCTCAAGTTGACATGCTTGTTATCACTGGAAATGCACTTGTTTTGTTGGAAGCAGTAGGGGGAAACAAGCACAATTTAGTTAAGCAACATTCCTTTTGTTCCTCTTGAAGTTGAGATGCAGCAACTAATGTTTATCCACTGCTTAAGAACAGACAGAAGGTTTGAAAAGATGTTACAACTGCAAACAAAAGCGCAGTATGTTGGCTACAGACTTGACGAAGGATCTGGCAGAAGTTCCCTGCCTGGAGTCATAAGTAATGTATTCAGCCAAAACTCAAAATCAGCCTTCTTTTCCAGGTTTGCAGCAATCCATACTCAAGGCTAATCCTTGAAACACGTTCCTAGATGCATCCAAAAAAAAAAAAAAGTACAGCACACTTGAGATTGCCTGTCCTTTTTGCAAACACTAGACCACCACAGGATATTTCTGCCAGCAGGTCCTTGAGTTGGCTTTCCAAAAGCAGAATAATTCCCTTTGGGCCAGCTATAAACTGCTACTCTTGGACATTAAATTATCAGTTTTACTTTCATGCTAGAAAAACAGAAGCAGCAAGTTTTATGTATTACACATTGTGACAACTGTTTATGTCCTCCATTAATATATTCTGTATGATTAATTAGCCTGTTAACTCTGGGATATATTTGATCAGACACTGGTTTGCTAAGGCACGTGTCTAACTCCAAACACTGAAGTTTCATTGAGCTTTATGTCTCCGGACTAAGGCAAACAGAAATGGTAAAAGATAAATACAAGTAAATATACAGAACAAGTTACCTTGTAAGAAGAAACTGGGAATTCTGGATAGTCTGCTGACTGTTTTCTGTGTTAGATGTGTTGGTTGTTGTTGTAGATTGTGTCATAGTGGTGTTGACATTGATCGTGTTGGTGCGTCTAGTTGCATTGCGTGCAGTCTCCAGTTGTTGTCTCGCTGCCTGTGCATGTTGTCGTTCCAACTGCAGTTGCATCTGCAGCTGCTGTAACTGAGAAGCAGAAGGGCCAGAGGAGTTGAGCTGTCCTCCTGCAGAACGCCGCACACCTGATAGCTGAGATAAAAGCTCTGCCAGAGAAGAGAAAGTTTCTGTGATGAAAGGTCTGAAATGAGCATTACACAATAGAATAAATGCACACTGAATTCCAGTGCATCAATTCCTTTTTTTCCAATCAATAAAATCAAAGAACAAACAGTGCTGAAGAGCCCATGAAGCTCTTGAAAAAAGTCCTAGCATTCAGTGTCTCAAAGGGTAAGGAAGATTAAAACCCATTTATGCAGATTTATTCCAGATAAGAAGTTGAAGTTAAATGCCTTCAAAATAACAGAAGAGCCAATCTAAAGGGAACGCCTGGCAAATGATGTCCTCTGCAGCAATTCTCTGAAACTTCAAAGTTAAAATAGCAATTCACTAAGAAACTACTTCATTTTGGCTTTGGTTGGTGATTTTATTTTCCTTTCAACAAATGTTCCCTCAAAGAGAGAAGATGTGCTACAGCAAAGGGAGAAGTATCATACCATTGCTTCAAACATTTAATAGAAGTATTTTGTTAAGAAAACATATTAAAGTATTGCCTCACATCAAAACTAAAGTGGTCAAGCATTTTTGCTGTATGAAGTTTTATTTCTGCCAGAAGAACAGAGAAGGCCTAGCAATTAAGAAAACGTCTGTTCTTAAGTCTTCCAATTCAGAGGGACAGAATGCTTATAGCAACTTTTATCCACAAATAATTTTTTGAAATAAATATTAGCAGCAAATTACTGCTCAGTGCATTACTACACAATCTCTTCTACACACTGTGTAGAAGGTACTTCTTATATCACCTGCTTGCTGTAGTTGATGCAAGGGCAGAGGAAGTAGAGGATGATACTGCTCCTGCCCCTCACCTCTACATTACAAAGTTACTATAGAGATCATGACAGTTTTCCTTCCATTGCATTAACAAAATACAATCTTGTTAAATAAGGCTTTCTTTAGGAAATAAAGTAAAATGCAGTAGTTTTCCATGTCAGGAACTCAGGATGGTCAAGTAATTTTTACCAGCAGTGACAGCAATACCAAGATTAAATAACTTTTAATTCCATTGTAATTACTAGAAAACACCACACGGAGAAAAAAGGGAAAAATTTAACAGATGCTATAAGCTTCATTTATTTAATAGAAAAAAAATCTGGTGATCTTTCCTCTCACTGTAAGTTAAAGCATAAATTAAAGCTTAGAGTATAGCGAAACAATATTTTGGAAGCAGACATGAGCTCGATACAAGAGTCTTGGTATAACACCCAGCTCAGTGTGCAACTGACTTCTAAATGCAAAACCACACCTTTCATGAAGAAAGAAAACATTCAGAAGAATGCCATTTATCCCACATTCAATGCTGGTAAGTGGGAAGGCATTGTGAGGCTGAAAACAAACCTCAGCAGCCACTCCACATTGCACTGAGCTGACCTAGCTCCCTTGTAAAAGAAAGACGAGGTCTTGCACTGAAAGCTTACCACAAACATCCTCCCTCCTTGAACAAACTCTAATCCTTTTTAGACCCTCCTGTGACCTCGCTTAACTTATTTTCTACTCTCGACGGGATCTTCTTCCCAGCTAATTTAATGAGTTAAATGAGGTCACAGCAGGCCAGCAGAGCACTAGAGCCAGTAGAAGGCAGGCAAGGGGACCATGATTAAGGCAGGCAGTGGAGCTACATCTCCCCTTTCAGGGCAACGGCTCATTAAGCTGGCTGGCTGCCTGCCTCCCTCTGAAGAAGTCACAACATGATAGCAGGAAGCTCCAGTTTAAGCATTACCCCATCTTGGCATCTGAAGCAAAGGTGGGTTATGGCAGAAGTTCTCAGGTTTCCCTGACACTTATGCTGGCATGGTCAAAGACCATTGCATAAAAACATTTAGATTTCCCCTTAGGGAAAGTTCTGTTTGTTTTCAGAATTGTCTTCATTCTCTATTGTTTCTTTCTGGTAAAAAGTTATTTTCACATCAAAGCTAAACAAACATCAAATAAGTTATTCCTAGGAATTCTTCGTTATTTTCTGGTGCTGAAAATGAGACACCCCTCCCCCACCCTGAGTTTTTCTAAACTTGACCAAAATACACTGCAAATACTTACAACAGTACATTTATATAAGCATTTACAAGTACGCCTAAAAAAATAATACTCTGTGATATTAGCAAGTCTGTCATTCAAACAGCAGCCTGAACGCAAACTGAACATATTTTAAATGTCCACTAATACTCAAATTCGGCTAATTTCATCTTCACTGAGACAGACCCTCTCCTCCATAAACACCTTTATCCACATGGCAAATTAAAATGAGATGTACTGAAGTAGGTGATGGAAGCTGGACATAATCACTTGTAAAAATATACACCACCTGTGCATAGATTAGGTTTGGGAATAAGTCTTACACTGTCTAGAATTAAAAGCACAAACTAGAGGCAGCTGTTTCAGCATCTCCACACATGGGCCCTGTGACAAGCCAGCCAAGCACAAGCTCACCTGCAAGCAGCCATCACACTTGCACCGTGGACGGTATCTGTACATGCAGCTTCATAACAACATAAAGTAGGGCAACTATTATCGTCTTGACTTTTACTTCCTCTGTGTAAGAAGGACACTGGGGTAAAATTCATGGTTACGGCACTTACCAGCTATAGGATCCATGGCTTCTCTATTGCTTGGAGAATACGAACTCTGAGAAGATGAAAGCCCACCAGGGGAACTGGTAGTAAAGTGCATGTTTGATCTACGTGCACGGGGGCCTCCCAAACCCCGGCCTGGGTGGAACATCCTACGTACATGCCGAACACCACTGGATTCATCATAACCAAGAAGTTAAGAAAACAGAACTGTTTAGCATTGAGTATTAAATGACAAGGACATTTGATAGGTGAAATACTCAGGTGCACACTACTGTTGTTCTTTCATAAAATAACGACTCAACTCCTGCAGCAAAGCTAAGGTATGCTGCAGCTATGGTGCAGGTCAGACTTACTGATCTGAACTCAAGATACCCAAGCGCTGTGTACACCAAACTCCCTGTATTTATCCAGCTTTTTATAATGTCCAAGAAACATCACGATTAATTTCTTAGGTTTTTTTAGATCAACGTTTTCTACTCAGTAATCTGAAAACTCTGATAAGTGCATGTTCAGCCAAGCTTATTTCAGAGAGACAGTGATTTTATTCTCCCTCTCCAATTCTTAAGTACTGAAAATAATAAAAAGCTTACTGCTATTCCTATCAAAATTATGTAACAATTACTGTATTCCTTTTGACTTTTGTACTTCATGCTTTTAGCCAAGAAATTTCATCACTTCAATCCTTAAGAAATTGTAGGTTGTATTGTAGGGAGTGTTCAGCACTTTCACCACACCCCTTTGTTTCACCTTTTTTTAGCCAAAGAAATACCACTGATTCCAGTTATGCCTTTCATTTTCCCATTTTCCCTCCACTTCTCCACATCAGATACTTATTTTTCAAGTCATACCTTTTATATGTTTTCTTATATAAATTAAGACACAATCAACAAATTTAAATATTATTTTTGTCAGAAAGTTGTTAACATTCGTTCCTGCAAGACAGTCCAGATAAGGCTTCCTTTTACTTTAAAAATCACTAGTATAATTCACTAGTGCAAAATGAAATAGCATAAGCTTGAGTATTTTATTGTTACTAGACTTTTAGCTTAGATACTCCTGTCTTCATGTGCTTTATTTTTATAATAGTATGCTGACCACCCATTTGGTATCCATTACTGTATAAGGGTGATGTCCAATGTACTTTTCATAAGACACAGTTATGGTGCAGAACCTCAGGATGTCATGACGTCAAGAACTTAAGACTGAAAGAAACAACTAGACTTCTCATGGCAAGAAAGAACCTCTGGCTAGTAAAAGATTTTACAGAATGTTTGCCTCTTTCAAACCTGTTAGTTATGCCACAGTGTAAAGCACTTGACATTTAGGGTGCAAGAGGAAAGTCTTCTCTGGTGCAGAACACACTTTGCCTAGCACAGAGTGCCCTGAGTGTGCTAAAACTGGATGCTGCTGGAGATGACATACCATATTAGATGGACTCCTGCCCTCATGCAGTTTGGGAAGCTTTTCATAACTAGACCTGGTAGAAAAGGCCAGTATCTTGTCTGGGGATTTTTCAAGCAGGCACAGGACTGTGAGGTAACTTTTTCAATGGCAGCTTTTAAACTGTCTTGAGATAAACATCATTCTTTAAATACCAGCTAAGTACGCACCCAAGTCTTACCAGCTATGTTACAGTAAAGCTTTTGTAAACCTTAACTTGTGACAAACAGATAAACTGAATAGCCATGCCAGAACTATTAGTATGACTGATGCTGAAAAGCTGTATTTAATAAATTTTCAGGTATTTCCCTGCTAAAGTAAGAAATTGGGCTTTAAAGAGTTGTCCCCAGACTGCAGGAATAAAGGACATATCTTGCAATGGCTGCACAAGGTTTATAACAAGAAACACAGCCTTCTGGGACAATTTAAGAAAAACAAAACAAAATCAAAATGACACATCTAATCAATACTCACAAGATGAGGCCACTCCTCAGAACTCTAACAGACCCAATAATAAAACGGAAAATCCTCATCCTAGAAAAAGTGCAAGCAAAGAGCCTTCTATCTCGCCTCTTTGTACATCAAAGTTGTTACAAAGCACGGAAAGTTGTTCTGTACAGCATTAACTTCATATAAATATGTTTAGAACAGCAATATAATGGTATCAAAGAGCAGCTTTCTAACAGTTCCTTGACTTTGACAGTTATTCTTTCCTATGCTGCCAGACCCTGGATGAAAAGGGGCATCTCCTCTTCCTTTTTTCCTACTTTAGACCTGCCTGTTGCTAGAAATGATGTAGAGCCCAACATGGAATAGTCACTTCAGGATACACCTCTCATCAGGTTTTGGAGACTGATCACTGAAGCAATAGCATACAAGCAGAAAATTCTACGTGCGTTGTCTTTAATGCTGAATCACAGACAATGTATTCCCAAAAAATACATCCAATAAAGATCCATTTTGAGATGACTGATATTGAAGCCCTACTCTGTATTTGAAAAGATTTAATTTGGGAATGTTTGAGCTAGAAAAACCAAAGTAATCTGGTGGCATCTCTGATGCTGGAGGGGGAGAAAAAGCTGCAGAAGCATGAACTCTAATCAAACGTCTTGTTCATTTCAGTAGGAAATTAATTTCACTCTAACTGGGAAAATTTAAACTTCCTGACCTACAGAGTAGTTAAGCCAGTGTTGGAGCCCCACAGTTTCACCTTTGGTACACTGCCATGTAGTTATTAGGGATGGAAATTTTGTTAGAAAAAGAATATTAGACAGGTGCTATGAAAAACTCACAACTGGTAGAAAGACCAGAACTAAGCTGCTACATGAAAAATCACTCAGCGACTCACTACACCAGTCATCAAGCAGTATCAAAGAGCTGTTCAAGGGCCAGGAAAGATCCAACAGCCTGGAAGATGCTCTCCCCTCATCAATCTCATCCCACCTCCACTCGAGAGGGAGGACACATGACCCTGCCTTGGAGGATACCTGGCCACGGAGGACCTCCCTGGACGCCTGGGACCAAGCTCTCATGGCCAGAGCCACCGCACTCAGCACTCTGCTCCTCCCAACTGCTGAGAGCTCTGCTCCTGTCCACAGGGAAAGGTGAAGTAGAGATAACTGCTTTTACCTAACTTTGTGGTGTTCTTTGAATTATTAGTTACTCCTTCACAGAGCCAATAAACACCCACACTCCTTTACACTGATCCAGTTATTGTGTAGTAATAACACGTGCATTTAGTCTGTCCTGACCCTAAACCATGGTGACACTAACAAACTCAAAAGCAAACACAATCGTAACTGAAATTGAGCCACCTCCTTATAAATGCTGTCTCTTCTGTTAGCATAACAAACACCAGTTGCTAGGGCTTAGATTATTTCTTTTTACCTCAGTTGCTAGGGCTTAGATTATTTTTTTTTATTTTTAAAAAAAATCTTTAAACAAAAAAACACTTATCAAAGTAAGAATATAGTCTGTCTGTTTGTTTGAATGAGACACAAAGGAATACTTCAGAGGGATTACTTACTGTAGGGAGGCTACATAGTCTGCATGTCATTAAATAAAAAGCCCAAACCAAAATACATTTCATTAGCTAATCTGGGGGTGGAGCAGAATCTAAAAAGAAAAAAATTCCTAGAATGAGGATAAAAACTGCAATAGTTCCAGCTCTTCAGCCATCAACATAGATATATCTGCATAACCTGCTGCTAAGGTGACTGAAAGACAACATACTATTTCCCATGGTATCTGAAAGTTTTCCAACTTATGTTACAAAATGTCGCTATGAACTTATGTTATTAAAGCATGGTGTTAAAAGTAGTTAAGCAAGTTTAAAATCATTCATCAAAACCAGCTAAGCTCAAATAATCATCATGTCACAAATATTTACAGCACACTACTCAATCTGGATATATAATGCAGCATTAGGACTAATGATCAGGTAGGATAAACCACAGTCCCAGTAGAAAAAACTCTTGGTATCAAAGTTCTTTAAATGTTTTTACTGTTAGAGCAAAAAGCACCATCAAGTATACCTACAATCTGTTCACAATCTGGTATTTATACTTTTTTAAACTAGCAAATGAACCTTTTTGGTTTTGGACACAGAGATCTTTAGCAACTTAAGTTCCAGGAAAACCAGAGGTGAGACCCTTTGACTATAAAAATCAAAACAAGTCGTCATTGCCTCTTTGCCTCAACTTGGAAAGGATATTAAATCTCTAGGAGCTCTGTGTTCCAGTGTAAGATGAGCTGCAAAGTCATCTGTGACATGATTCGGATCCCCTCCAGGTAATGCTGCGCATATTGGACAAATCTGAAATGACAAAGCAAGAAAAAAACCCAACTTTGTAAGTTTTACACAAAACTTGTATCATTGAGTCAATCATTAGACACTGATTCTTGTGCTTTAAAATCACATTATAAATATTCACAAACACTTACATAGTAACATATGCAAAAACCCCAGAAAACATATTCAAGTGCAGACATTAATTTAGACATCTTTTACCTTATGATTTTTCAGAATGCTATGAAAATCAGAGCTAGAACTTTCAAGTTCAATTTGCAATGTCTTGAAAATTAGTCTTTATATGCCAATTCTGCCACAGACAGTAGAGTCTGATTGCACAGGATTACTATTATGAGCCTGCTTGACTCTCATCCCAGCAGAAGAATCAAAACAAAACCACAAGTAAGTATTTGCTGAAGTATCAAACTGTGACCACCCAACCAGGCAGTGTGTAACTACAGGTTTGGCAGAGAAGGGCTGATCTCCATATCCCTACACAACAGTATTTTGGGAGAAGGCACTGACATCTATCTTTGGTTTGTATTTTTTTAAACTGAAACACAGGTTAACTAAGTAGACAAACAGTGCCATTACAATTGCCATAATTATGACTTTTTTTGAATGACTCCACAAACAGCTTGAAAAGCATTTTCCATGTTTCTTTACAGTAGTTTTGCAGACTCATTTTCAAGTTTTACAGATGACAGACCAAAAAAAATCCACAAAGTTCTTCCCCCAAATATTAAGTACTCAACAGCACTTTGACAGTTAAATGCAACTGCTGTCTATGAATTTCTCTGTTCCTCACAGTCAAATAGCCTTGTCTTTATGGAGCAACTCTGGCTGCAACATAAAGCCCAAGTTACCAGTGCTCTTCACACATATATTGAAGTTGTTGACAGTAGATTTCAAAAGAACATCGGCATTAAGAACACCTATATAATAGCACACACATCTATCTTACTCTTATGGAGGTGAGGAAAAAGTCTGGAAGTAAGTTTACTGTAAAATCTCAGCTGCTTTTGACAGCACCTGCTACATTTTCAATGTCACTTTAATTTTAGTAGTTAGCTCTGAGCAGAAAAATAGGCATTTTAAAAGCTTTTTGCTACAACTTCTTCCCCTTTATTTTCAATGTTCAGCATTTCTCTTCACAGAGTTCCTCTTCCCAGATTTCTCACCACTACAGAAGCCATACAAACAGAGAGACTACAGAGCAAAGATAGCATAATATAATAAATGTTCAACTATGCCAACTTATCATACAGCTACTCAGTAGGGACATAGGAATGGATGGATATTGGACAGATGATTGTAAAATCCATAAACTCACTTATAAGCTGCTGTGCTGGTTTTGGAGTTCATTTTCTTCACAGCAGCTAGTACGGGGCTGTGTTTTGGAGCTGTGCTGGAAACAGTGTTGATAACACAGGGATGTTTTAGTTGCTGCTGAGCAGTACTTACGTAGAGCCAAGGCCTTCCAAGGCCTTTTCTGCTTCTCACACCACTCCATCAGCAAGTAGCCTGGGGGTGCACAGGAAGGTGGGCGGGGACACAACCAGGACAGCTGACCTCGACTGGCCAAAGGGTCATATGACATCATGCTCAGTATATAAGGGGCTGGGGAAGAGGAAGGAGGGGAGGGACATTTGGAGTCATGGCATTTGTCCTCCCAAGTAACTGTTACACACGATGGAGCTCTACTTTCCTGGAGATGGCTGAACACCTGCCTGATGATGGTGAATAAAATCCTTGTTTTGCTTTGCTTGCGCGAGCAGCTTTTGCTTTACTTAGTAAAACTGTTTTTATCTCAACCCATGGCAGCAGACTTGGGTTGAAAGCTGCATTTTATTTGGAACAACTGACCAATCTGAAACCCAACACCAACAATAACAATTATCATACTGACAGTCAGATTCTTCTGCACTTTGCCTTATAACGCTTACTATTTCCCTTAGACATTTACTGGTGAAGAAATACTGGTGATTACTGAGGTTTTAGTAGTCAAAAGAATACGATTTATTCTTTTTAGCATGTAACCTTAGGGACTTAATCACAAAACTTACGACTATTCCCACAGACACCAGTATAATTTTCAATTAAAGTACCCAGAATTAAAACAATCACCTTTGAGAAACTATCATCAAAGTCTCCTCCTGGAGTTCCTTTCCAGGACCTCAACATGCTGAGCTGCCTCTCTAAAGTGCCTGTATACTAATGCACACAGCACAGGGAATAACCATGATGAGTTAGAGATCTGCATGCAGTTACAGGTCTATGACCTTCTTGGGATCACAGAGACACGGTGGGATGGCTCCCACGACTGGAGTGTTACAATGGAGGGATATCTGCTCTTCAGAATGGAGAGGAACGGGGGCTCTTCTGAAGTAGAAGGGGGACTTGCCTTTTACATGAAAGAGCAGCTGGAGTGCACAAAGCTCTGCCTGGGGATGGAAGATCAAGGATCATCCCCTCCAAGCTGAAGAGTGCTCCATCCCAATGAATATGAAGTCAAGCAAAATGCCAGGAGGCCTACGTGGATGAACAAGATGTTCCTGGTCAAACTCAAACACAGAAAAGGAAGCACACAGAGGCTACCTTCCTAGGGTAACCTTGGAGGAATACAGAAACATTATCCAAGCATCAAAGTAAGGGAAGCTAAAGCCCACATGGAATTGAATCCGGTGAGCAATGTGAAAGGCAACAAGGGCTTCTACAAGTACACAGGCAACAAAAAGATGGCTAGGGAAAAATGTGAGCCCATTGCTCAAAAGATGAGGGACCTGGTTACACAGGACATGTAAGAGTTTGAAGTACCGAATGCCTCCTTTGCCTCAGTCTTTACTAGCAAGACTGGCCTTCAGGAATTCCAGGTCCAAGAGACCGGGGGGAATGTCTGCAGCAAGGAAGACATTCCCCTGGTGGAAAAGGATTAGGTTAGAGAATATTTAAGTGAACTGGACATACTTAAGTCCATGGGCTGTGATACAATGCACCCATGGGTGCTGAGGGAGCTGGTAGATGCCATTGTGAGGCTGCTCTCAATAATCTTTGATCAATCATGGGCAACTGGAAGAGGTACCCGAGGACTGAGGTAAAGCAAATCTCACTCCTCTCTCAAATGGTAAGGAGGACCTGGGGAACTACAGGCTGGTCAGCTCACCTTGATCCCTGGGAAGGTGATGGAGCAGCTAATCCTGGACACCATTTCCAGGCATGTGAAAGACAAGAAAATCATCAAGAATAGTCAGCATGGCTTCACAGAGGGGAAGTCATGCTTGACCAACTTGATAAACTTCTATGATGAAGTGACTGGCCTGTAGGTGATTGGAGAGCAGTTGATATTGTCTACCTGGACTTCAGTAAGGCCTTTGACACTGTCTCCCATAGGATCTGCACAAACAAGCTGCTGATGCACAGGCTAGGTAAGCAGACAGTGAGGTGGAGTGAAAATTGGCTGAATGGCTAGGCTCAGAGGGTGGTGATCAATAGGAATTTTGCTGATGACACAAAACTGGGAGAAGTGGCGGATATGCCGAGAGCCATGCTGCCATTCTCAGGGACCTCAACATGCTGGAGAAAGGGGCCAAGAGGAAGTTTATGAAGTTCAGAGGGAAGTGCAAAGTCCCGTACATGGGGAGGAACAACCCCAGGCACCAGCACGCACTAGAGGCCAACTAGCTGGAAAGCATTTTTGCAGAAAAGGACCTGGGGGTCCTGGTGGCCACGAGCCAGCAATATGCCCCTGTGACAAAGAAAGCTAGTGGTGTCCTGGGCTGCATTAGGAAGAGTGTTGCCAGCAGGTCAAGGGAGGTGATCCTTTGACTCTGTCCAGCACTGGTGAGGCCGTACCTGGAGTACTGTGCCCAGTTCTGGGCTCCAACTACAGGAGATACACGCACATACTGGAGAGAGTCCAGCAAAGGGCTGCAAAGAGGGACTGAAGCATCTCTCCTATGGGGAAAGGCTGAGAGAGCTAGGACTGTTCAGGCTGAAGACTCCCAGGCTCAGAGAGGGCTCTTATGAATGCACGTAAATACCTGAAGGGAGGGTGAAAGAAGGACAGAGCCAGGCTCTTTTCAGTGGTGTCCAGTGACAGTACCAAAGGCAGTGGGCACAAATTCAAACACAGGAGGTCCCTTACAAACATGAGGAAACATTTTTTCACTGTGAGGGTAACTGAGCACTGGCACAGATTGCCCAGAGAGGCTGTGGAGTCTCTATCCTAAGAGATATTAAAAGCTGTCTGGACATGGTCCAATGCGACCAGCTGAAGCTGGCCCTGCTTGAGCAAGGGGGTTGGACACAATGACCTCCAGAGGTCCCTTCCCACCTCAGTCTGTGATTTCTGCCCACAAGTACCTAACACTGCTGCACATACCAATGCCAAATACCTGAGAAAAAGTCAGAAGGAAGTAAACTTATACACACCACCCTGAACAAAAAAATGGCAAAATTTAATGGACCAAAAATTCTTTGACTTCTTGTTTCAAAAATGGGAGGCAGGGGTTGTAAAATAAAAGTGATTCCATCCTGTAAACATCTCTTAAAGATCTAAAAATAAGTATCTAAAATAAAACACATCTTTGGACAGACAGAGAAACTACAAGGACTACAAGTTCAGTATCTAAATAGAAATAATTGGTTGAAAGCCTAAGACCACAAACATTTAGAATCCATACTATTTTCCTCTTCAGTAATGCTGTTAGCCTTTCACTATCTGCAGTAAGACTGCAGTATCCAAATAGTTTTATGTACATGCACATTAAACATCACAGAAGCTAGATTCAAAACTTAACACAAACATATGCAATCATATTCAAGGATTAAACTATTATGCTTTCTCATTGTTTGGAACAAAGATATAACAATGTTGCAGGCTGACTCACAAAAAGGAAAGGGGTTTTTTTTGGGGTTTTTTTTGGGTTTTTTTTTTTGGTTTTTTTTTTTTGTTTTTTGTTTTTTGTTTTTTTTACACATACAATTCTTTCAGCAATCAGTGGAGTAGGTAGTGTCTGGAATCACAAACTCACAAAAAGGAAAGGTTTTTTTTTGGTTTTTTTTTGCTTTTTTTTTTTACACATACAATTCTTTCAGCAATCAGTGGAGTAGGTAGTGTCTGGAATCACAAACTTAGGCTTTACATGCTGAATTCTAGAAGTCACAGCTGCAAACAAGGATGTGTCAAATTTAAAAACCTGCAATCTTAACATTCTGTGTCAGGAACGCATCACTGACATCAAGTGGTGCAAATCAGAACTGCAATACTAAGGCACCAAAGAAAATCATCCAAATGTGGAACTTTCAATGGTTGATGCTACGTTTCAAAGTTGCAAAGTTAAAGAAAAAAAATCAAGATGACGATAAAAATTACAGTGTGTCACTGAGTTAAATAATGATCCTACAGTGCAACTAATTGTGAAGTAAACTGCTTCACTTCATATGCTCTTAAGAAGGATAACACCTTTGAGTCTTAAAAAGATGGACAAACCACCTCCCCATCACTCCTTCAAACAAGATCCATAATAGGCTTGGAGAGGAAAGGTTTGTTTTCTTCCACAGAATTCCTTGGAAGGATAGGATTCACATTTTTCTAGGAATCTGTGGCACAACAGTTAACTAGACAGGAGTACCCTGGATATCATTCTGCTAACCTAGTTTCTCCTACTCCCAAAGACAATCAGGATAGCAGGAGCTAACACCTCAGATTAAAGTTATTCTGTTGACACTTGTTTAAGTGCATTTTTAACCACATCAGCTGTTAGGGACAGGGGAAGAAGCTCTGCTTTAAGAGCAATACTTTCAAAAGAATGACAACTTTCATTACATAAACATACCAGGTCCATTACAAAAGCATTACAAAAGTCTGAAAAACACACCAAACTGTCTGCATGTCTTCCTCTCTCTCTCAGTCACAAGAGACTGGCACAGCCATGAACTTCCCCAGGACATTTACATACTGGTTGTGAAAAGGGAGACACAGATACACAGAATAACCATGAGACCATTATAAATTCTGTCTTACAGGACAATAAACTCCTGCACATGGCAGCCTTTACATCAGGACAACCAAACAGCAACCATAAAAGAAGTAAGCTCATTATATTACAATATCCATGAAACGTAGAAGAATTTTGATGTCGCTGTCAAATGTACATGTGTCTTCTTACAAAGCATTTAAATAAACTCATGTATCAAGAAAGAAAAAGGAGGATACCAATTTTCCAGAAAAGAGACTCTTTTTAATATATTTCCACCACAACTGAAAGCCAATTCTGAAGCTTCTTACCACTTCTGTTGATGTTTCTGCATGCTCAGAAGTAACATGTTCTTGAAGAGATGTTTCCGTATAACCCATTTTCCCACAATAAGGACAAGTAAAAGACTGTGGCTGTTCTACAGAGAAAGCTTCTCCACCATAGTACAAATCTGGAACAGAAAGTGTGTAAATAGAGGTTACTTCAAAGCAGTAGCATAATTTATTTTGTTCATGTAAACCTCTGTTTATATATAAGTGTACTTCAATGTAATCACTGCCAAATTAATCTGGTGTTTAATTGAAACAGTTATTTTAATCTTGTATAAAGGTCATAGGCTGGTATTCAAGAAGTGTTCAATTACTGATGACAAAAAACAGACTGAATTTCATTTTCATTAGCAAACACAACATAGTTTTCTAATATTCAGTGGGAGCAAAGACTCCTATGATGATCTTGCTGACAATGCCAAACCTTCACTTTTTCACCACCCTTCTTATCCCATGTACAGGGTCACCTATGGTATTTTTCAACCGTGAGTGAGTTTTCAAAAGCTGAACTCTCAACAGAACCTCAAAAATTTAGATTAAAAGTCCTCAGTGATATCACATGTCAATATTTATGCCATAGTTGAACCACTGCTTCACAATAAGTAGTTTTATAAATGTCTCTAATACATAATATAAAAATTGTTAGTGACAAAGGAATCTGTATCTATTACACACTGGTTGCAACTGGTGTTGAATTTAAGCACTTTTGCACTACTCATGAAAAGCAGGCACCTTTAACTTGCTAATGAGAAGTTCCCCAAACTTAACACGAAAATTTATTAAACCATGCAAGAAAAGAAAGCTTTTCTCTCATGTCCTCTGCAGGTATTATGTATTCTACAGGAAACATGAATAGATCTCACATTCCCATCAAGATAAAAAGTGTGATTTTCTCCAGCAAGTAATTTAAAATCTTTTCACTGATATTTTTTCTAGGACTCATTGATAAGTAACTGAAAAATACTCTCATAGAATTATGAATATTCTGCTATAAATTAAAAATTGGACAAGCCTGAACAGGTATTAGAACTCATGTTCTGCACCACAAAGCAGTATCCATCTAATGTGTTAGGAATACGTCCCTCTGACAGCTTAAGTCTCAGCTTCCTAAGGTTTATGACATCTGCCACTGATCCCTCTTTAGGAAATGACTAGGAAGAACAGAACAATATTTGTTTCTGCAGTCTTACAAAAGATGATGCATAAGCTAAAAAGGTATATATCTATAATCCACTATATTAATAGACAGTATTTTACATATAATTAGGTTTTGAGGACTAGCACTCCAAGACCAATACAGGAAATGAACTTCTTAGTAACATGCTAATATGCAGAGTTAAAGATACTGAATCAGATTGAATACACTGCAGAATACAGTTTATGTTCAGTAAATCCCTGTTTATTTGGAAACTGCTTCCAGAGAATTTAAATGCTAGAGAATGAGAGAAAGATACCCCTTTAACAGGCACAATAAGAAATGCCCAAGCAGACAGCCTTGCCAAAGAAGAAACAATACCTAACACACTGAGCATTTTGACTGGTTCATTGAATTAACTATTACACTAAGCCCGAGTATCATCCTGAATCTAGGTTTACATATTCACACACACGAGGAAAACATTATGACTAACTATCCGAAGTAAAAAGTTCCCAGCCAATTAAGTCTTAATTCTCCAAAGCAGCATTTGAGGTCCTAAGAAATGTTTTATGCAAGAAGGCACAGAACTATTTTTTCATTAGAGAACTGAATTGCTTATCAGATATGATCGAAACAGAACTATAAAGACTGAAAGCATGAATGTAAGTTAGAAGACATGCCCAGAAGATTAGCACCTCCACCCCCAACCTAAAAGTTGTTTATATAGTATTGACACAAACAGATGCCTGGAATCTTTATTGGAGGGAAATCCCAAAGGTCGTTGCACAGCATGTATCAGGACTCAGTTCTGAACGCATCTGAGTCACCCAACACATGAATGATAGGCACTTCCTTGACAAGTTGTCAGCCATTCTGCTGGCATCCTAACAAGATACATGGTAAGGATAGATGTTTTGAATTAAGACATACCTGATCCCCTATAAATCCATGGGAAGAACCAGTGAAGCTATGAAGAGGAAGGTCTACCTTCCCACATTTCCAGGAGAGGTCACTGGCCAACACCTAAATGTTACTGAAGATGACAATACTACCAGATTGGAAGAAAGCTTCTAAAGTCTGCTTGTTTGGTTTATAAACTACTTTGATTTATAAATATGATTGTTTGATTTATATATCAGTCAGCTTTAAAGCATGTTCTGAATGCTCAAAAGCAGGAACAGCAGCAAATTCCCTCATGTCAAAGCTTTTAAAACTGTCAGTAATTCTTACACATTTCTCACAGTAAGCTTGTGTTTATTCTACAAGAGTAAACTGGCACTACACTTACTCTGGCAGATGACCAGAAAAACTGGGTCTCAGGCAGGATTACACCATTAGCATTCAGAACTCCGACAGTTCCTATGTACAGGTGTTAAGCAGCATTATTCTACAGGATGAACCAATTAGATTTACTTACATGCACAACTATCTTTTGACTTTAATAGCTTCTCTAAAATTACAGAACACATTTCCCAGGTGGTGACCAGTCTTGTTGCCAAGTCTTCCGTTCTCCTCTTATTTACATGATATGCAATAAAGATTTATATGAAAATTAACCTGCTCCAAGTTTGAGGTGTTATGGAGACTGTTTTGGATATAGCACACAGAAGATCTACATAATTCACAGAACTTCAGTATTTTGGAGCTCTTAACCAGTGCCAGTTCAGTATGTATTTCACCAAGTATTCCCCTGAAAGTTTCTCCAAGAATCACATTCAGACTCCCATTCTGATACAGCCAAAAAGCTGAGTGGCAGTAAAAAAAGTTACCAATATGCAGCATCATATTCAAATATGAAGAATTTGCCTATGTCATGGTTTCAAATAAGGAAAGCATGAATGAAGTTTACATGGGACAAAGTTCTAAGCAGTCACTAAAACAGTCTCTGAATGGATCAGCCATACAGACTCTGGAGCAAGATACTCCTTCACAAAAATGTATCTGTAAGGCAAAGGATTCGCAGTGATAGTTGTCTAGAACAAATAAATGCAAAATGCTTCAATGAAGACAGATGAAAGAATTCTCTTTACAATTATATGAAGAAAAAAATTCTAATTAAAGCAGCTCATTACACACATTGTTACAGTATATAGCAAAAAAGAAAGCTTTAAAAGTGTTCTTATTTATACAGTGTCATTGCACAGATGAAATGTAAACTTCAGTTCAGTGGCCTAGAGTTGAAACTTAAATCAAGATTCTGGGAACAAAGAAAGACGGCCAAACTTTTGAACCAAATAATTAAGAATTCCAAATTCAACTGCATTTAATCTGCCCAAAACAGCACAAACACTATATTGTTCTCTGAAACTCAGTAATTCAACACAAAAAAATCTGCATACCTGTGGGAACAGCAAAAATGGCAGTGACAAACACATTAAAAGCTAATGACAGTTTGTTCAGTTGATACTCTGATTTTCCTCCAGCTTCAGTACGATCCTCACGATGATGATCAAATACTATTTACTGATTGGAAAACAAACTCTCCATCACTGAAAAAACATATACACACACATGCAAGAACACCAAGTCGAATTCTCCTTTGAGGACTCTTTCTAGCTGAGCAGACCCATTTCCAGGAATTTTCTAAGTGCTGGCATGTTACATATTGAACTGGATAAAACAAGAAAATGACGACTCAAAGGGGCAAGCTAATGAAAAAAGGTGCAAATAATCTTATATGCAAATCCTCTAATGAATAGAAGTAATTTATGCATCTACTACCTAAAAAGAAAAAAATATCCTCAAAGTTATCAAGTGGTCTAAAAACCTCTATCTATAAACCTCACTAGTTCAAGAATGTGAGTATTGTCAAGTAAGGCAGAAGTACCAACTCCAGCTTCCCAGCTAAGCAAAGGGCACAGGGCCACAACCAATCTGAAGAGAGTGGTAAATAGATTAGCATGCAGGTAAAAACTATCTTTTCCTTCCAGATGTCAAGAATTCCAGCAAAACACACTGTTCTATCACAGAGAAGAGAGGTTTGATGAATACTGTCAAATCCTGTGTTTCTGGTCCTTGCTTTCAGAGAATACGAAACAAGCCATTTATTAATTAAAAAAAAAAAAATCTGAATTCTTTCCAGCCTCCTGATTATACTCCTGCATGTTCTCCCATTCATACCTCCTTCCACATCTTTCTCATAATACACAGCAAACGTACATGCACATGCCAAATAAAAATGCCTTCATCTGGAAAAAAGTAACTAAAAATGCACCTGTCAGAAGTTAAATCAGTCACTGGCAAATCCAAGTATTTTTCCCTTGGAAGTTTATACCTCCCTTCTTTTTTCCTCCTCAACTTTAATCTTTCTCCACCTCTTAAAATCAAAACTTGTTCCTTTTCTAATCTGAAATATAAGTCACCAGGTAAATTTTCTTTTAAACTATAACATAAATTTTTTAAAAAAAAAGGTTGATAATTAAGTGATACCATGAATCTTTGTGTCTAATTTTAGCATTGAAGTTACTGAATGGATATTTCTCCACCTGTTTCTTTTTTACAAGTATTTAAAAAGATCCTAAAAATTATGAATACAGTCATGTTATTGACTATCAAAGGCTCATTTGTGAGGGAAGATCTTAATTAGAGGTAGTACGGGAAAAAATGAAAAGGCCATGCCTCCATGGCAAGGGAACCTACAGTTGTATTGTTTTTATTTACAGTTGTATTACTGTTATGATGCAACTAGCCCATGACTAAAGAATTATCCCTTCTGGCCACAAAGAAATCTTTCAGATAATATATTTTGGTTCTTTCCAAATACCTTCCTACACAAGCAGAAGTCCTTAACTCTTCAAACTCCTCTGGATGTCTAAAGCCTTCTCTTCAAAGTAATGAAGATGACAAGTTTGCTTAGTAAAAAAGAAAACCAGACTAAATCACAACCCTCTAGGAGAAAATTCATTACCTATACTGCTTATCAATTAGAGGAAGAATACAAAGGAGTAAGAAGATCTGAATACTGCCTAAAGAGGACTCAACAAT